ATAAGAAAAATAAAATTAAAGTAACATAAAATAAAAAAAATTAAAAAACAAAACAAAAAACAAATATAAAAATAAACATACAGAAATAAAAAAAAAAAAAAAATAAATAAAAAAGTTAAAGAAATATAATGTAAAGTATAATTACATAATATAATTATAAAATAAAATTAATTATAATTAGAAAAAAATAAATTAAATAAAACTAAATGGAATATAAAATAATATAATAAAATAATAAAAAATAAGATAAAATGAATTAAAATAAAATTAAGAAATTAATAAAATAGAATAAAACCAAATGAAATATAGAATAATAAAATAAATAAAATAAAATAATTTAAAATTAAAAAAAAAATAATAAAATAAAATAAAATAAAATAAAATAAAATAAAATAAAATAAAATAAAATAAAATAAAATAAAATAAAATAACATAAATGAAAAAAAATAAAGTTAAGGAACTAAAATAAAATAAATAAAGATTCAAAAAAAAACTAAAAAATAAAATAATAAATTAATATAAATCAAAGTAAAACGAAAGTAAATTAAAAAGCACCCTCTCAATAGCATTTGAGAATGACTACAACTACACTTGCGCTTGATGATTACCGCTATTTAGTGAGTCGAGAAAAAGTCGGAATTGTCCGCAGTTACATGAAATCAAAACGACATTCCACTGTCTTTTGACATCTTAAGTAGAATCTAAGTTGCCTTACGCTTAAAATTTGTTCCACACTTTTAACCAACATTGATACTTCCGTAAGGCAAGTGTGAAAGGGTGAGCTGGAGAATGTTGTTTTTCTCCCTTGCTACTTAACGAGCGCGCATAACCAGCTGCACTCGACTGAAATCAGGTCAACATTCATTACTGTCACTTTGCCAAAACGAAAATCTTTTGAAAAGTTACTATTTATTACACTTTTTTGTTTTCGACTGAACTAAAAGCAAACAAAAAATAAAAATAAAAAACCGAAAATCTCACAACTATTCCCGCTTCAGCGCACTGGCATACACAAGGACATGTGCTTAAATATCCGCGCATAGAAAATCCACACAAAACACATTGCAGTGTCAGTTGCGTCGGTGAGGTCGGTGTAACGCAAACCACTGCTGCCACAACATCAACAAGCGCTTTCAATTTGTTGTAGTTGTTGTTGCTGCCTGATATTGCAGGTGACATCAACTGTGTACCCACTAAATGCATGTCCTTTTTTGTTTTTCTTTTGTACAGAGCGCTTCCTTGGCATCAATGTTTAGATCGTTGCCTGCCAGCGTTGGCGGATATGAGCGCTTTGATGCACAGCTATTTATGCATGTGTGTGTGTGTATATGAGCATGTGCTAAAAAGCTTCGCTTGTTCATGTCAAGCAATTTCATTTCTGCAACACCATTATTATTGCATTTCAATTCACTACACGGACCAGCCACAACTCGCGGATACAGCTCAATGTGAAGCGCGAAAAATTTGCGCTGTTTCTATGCTCACTACCCGTATGTCGCACGTGTGTACATACATATATGCATATGTCTATATCTATGTATTTTTGTATTATTTTTTCTGTCTTTTTTGTCACTCTGTCAATGGAGCCTCGAGGCGCCAAGTGATTTTTCGCATGCCTTCCCGCACACAACTGCTATGAGCGAATCCTGTCTTTTTAGCCACATGTGTGACATTCCTTGGAAATGTTTGCTATTTGTTGTTCGGAAAACCAACAAAAAATTTTTATACATACATTACACTTTTGTATGCAGACTGCTTGCTGCTTGCTGCTGAGTTAGTTATACCCTTAAGTCCTAATATTTACTTTGCTATTTCGCTTGAAAAAGAGAAAAATGCAAAGAAAATACGAGATACAATTATTAAGATTCCGAGTTGAAAAGTTGAACAGAAGTGGTCCGACTGTAAGTATCAGTAGGACTGCTTGTAATGGTTAGAGAGTAAATTGTTGTTGGAAAAGAGGGAGAGGTGGCGAGGGAGAGGGAGAGAGCGCGAAAGGAAAAGAGATAGGGAAAGAGACAGAGAGAGAGAGAGAGATAGAGAGAGAGGAATAAGGGAGAGAGAGGCAGGGAGAGAGTTAGGCATAGTAAATTTTTTTTTGTTTTTGCAATAGATGTTAGTATTGACAGCCAGGAAGGGTTTGGTGAGATTAGAAACGAATAACCCACTATGAGCTTTGCCCCTAAAGTCAAACTCTGAATTCGGACCTCTCCTATCAGGATGGATACCACCAGAAGGACGCTTAGAAGCGTCTAGCGTTTACAAACAGAAGAGAAATTTTATCTTATCAGTACAACACCAGACTAAACACATCGATATTTACTCTACAGAAACTACGAGAGCTTGATTGGGTAATTTCTATGCCTCCATCTGATACCGAGAGTAGAGAGTTGAATAGCAGACAGACAGAAAAAGCGAAATGTCTGAGAATGAAGAGTTTAAAAAAGTTCGAAGATATATAGAAGACCAAACTCTTCTAAGCACTAATAATTCCACTGGTGCTATATGGTGCAGAGGCATGAGCAATGGCAACATCTGTTGATTCGAAGTATTGAGTTTTTTAGAGAAAGGTTTCACAGAAGATTTATGGTCCTCAACGAGTTGGGAGCGGCGTATACCATTATCTGGGAGGTGTACGAGATATACGATGATATTGAGAAACTTTAGCGAATCAAGAGAGAAGAGTGAAAAGAGAGGGATAGGAAGACCTTCACTCCGTTGAAAAGATCAGTTGGAGAAGGTCCTGGCTGCACCTGTTACTTCTGCTTGACAACCGAAGAGCGAAAGAATGATAGCTCGGCTATGGTCGCGTGGTGGCCGTGGTAGCCGAGTGGTTTGCATTGCGTACTACCGTCCGGAAAGGCTCGGGTCCAAATCCCCGTGCGACCAACATTCAAAAGTTATGGAAAATTAATTAAATGAAAAAATTAAGTTAAATTTTCTAACTGCGGTCGCCACTCGACAGGGAGTTACATGATATAAAGGCTCCTCATAAGAAAATTAGCCAGCAGTCGTTCGGAGGCGGCTTAGTATTAACTGTATGTCCCTCCATTGGTTGGAAAAACTTCAAGGCGCAAAACCACAAATTGAAGGAGAAGCTCGACCGAAAAATCGATTCAGCGGTGACATAGCGCCAATTATGTATGATGACGTAAACGGTATCTACGCCATTAGAAAAATCATTAAAGGAGAAGAAATCGAACTACATTTATCAAGGTGTGTCTTTATTTATTTTGAAAAAAAGTGACATTCGCTTAGTTTATTTCAAATTTATTAGAAAAGATTGTATACTGGCGGCCCTGTAGAAGACTAAAATGGTTGTTGTAAGATAGAAAGATAGAGAGAGATAGAGTGAGAGAGAGAGAGAGTGTGTGTGTGAGAGAAAGAAAGAGATAGAGTGAGAGAGATGGAGAGAGTGTGTGACAGAGAGAGTGAGAATATGTTAAGAAAGCGCGCCTCTCAGGTACCAAATACGTTCCTCTCTTCGCTTTTGCGTTCTTGAGCATATGGAAAAAAAACTATAACGGCGTTGGTTTAGATAGAGGTCCTTAAAGATTACAACTTATTTCAAATTTTTTTAAAATTTCCACAAATTATCGCTACATAATTGAGTATGTGTGAACATTAAGCTCAACGGGGTAATTAAATCTTTATTGTCTCAGCTAATTGACCTTACTTATTTCCACGCTCAATAAATCAACTTACATTCGGATGGAGTTTCCAAATGTACTGATCTTTCTGTGAAAAGTTCAAGATGAACAAAGTCTATATTTTAGCATACATATATACACACAAACATACATACGAAGTCATTAGGGACGTCTACGGTCTAAAAGTCGTAGTTTTTTCAATTTCCAGTTGTTTTTTTTCCAACTCCAATCGAATTTTATGAGAACAGCAAATACACACGAGTCTGTACACCTACATATTTTTATACCAGGAATATCTCGCCACTTGAGAAGCTGCATAATTTTCACTTTAAAACTTTCATAACAAACGCATGAATTGGTCTGAAAAGTAAAAGCAAAGAGAAAACAAAAAAAGAAAAACAAATAAACAAGCAAAAGGTCTTCTCTTTTCCCCGCCTGGACCAGTTTCTTGGCAATCCAACAACAACAGATGCAGGTTAAATAAAAGGAAGCCCAGTCAAAGGTACGGAAATGTGGGTGGACTGCACGCAGGCAACTCCACAGCGGCGCATACAGATAAAGCCTTGGCATAAAGTAACCAGTTCCGCCCCTCAGTAGCTACCGACAGTGCGCCAGTTAAAACGCAAAACAGGGAATATAGAGTGCGCTGACAACAGAAATGGCGAAACGTAGCATACTTTTGTGCGTTCGGCGTCGGAAAAAAATGTAAAATTTACGCTGCCCCTAACAACTACAAGAACAAATACAACATACAATAGCGCTTGTGGAAATGGCAGCCAACGTAGGAGGAGCATCCGCTGATGGGTGAGGTGGGGCGCGGTGTGGTATGGTCGTAGTAAAAGTGCTGCAGGTGTGTGTGTGTGTGCGTGTGTTTGTTTATATATGTGACAGCTATAGTTGCTAGTTCCGGACTTACTGCTACTCGAGCGACCTAGGAGACCGACTTCTTTGCTGCCATGCAACAGCAGGACGTATAGTATCCAACGAGCCGGACACAGTTGCTGCTGCATGTTGACGTTGTTACATTCAAGTGCCTGCACTTTTCCTGTCTTGCTTTCCGTATATTTTATATTTATTGTTATTGTTGTTTTTTTTTTGCTTTACTTTGCTATGTTTTCCATGCGAACACTTTGTTAACCCATTTCTTGCTTTTATTATTATGCCGGAGCAGTGGCTGTGGTACTTGGCATACTCTGCTCTGATGTGGACGCCACCGTCAACCACTCATTGCAACACTTGACACACACACACACACGCAGCAGGGGGGTTTATATGTATGTGTGTGCATAAAATTATTATTTCTCATTTTTATATTCAACATAAATGTTAGTTGGCTCACGGCTGGCTACTCACCTGGCACCGACGAGCAGACTGTTGCTATCCTTTGTGACAAGCTTAAAATGATCCACGACACTTTCGTTTCCGAGAAATTTTAGCACATCTTCAGGACCTGCAAGTGAATACAAGTGCCGGAGCACGAGCAAAGACAAAAGAGAAAGTGAAACAAATTAGTAAAATAAAGTAAAAATGGGGAAGTAAAATAAAATGTTGGAGATAAATGGAGTTTATATTGTATAAATACATAAGTCACATTAATATACGTATATTCAAAGAAAAAAATTATTAATAAATCCACTTCAGGTATTAGTAAAAATTACACGGTTTTTTTATATTTTTACCAATTTTTAGGAATTTCGAAAACGTTTTCAAATAAAAAAAATGTCTAAAAATTCTCAATTTTTTATGGCATGAACTTTTTTATATTTGATAAACTTTTGGGGATTTCTGAGAAGTTTCTCAATTAAAAAGTTGTTTTCCTTTAATATCCGAAATTTTCAACGCATGCCAATCTTTTAATAATTTGTCAATTCTTGAGGAAGAATTTCTCAATTAAAAAAAACTTTTTATTCGGGAGACAATTATTTTCTCCATTTAACTGCATTTTTGATGGATACGAAAATTGCAATAATTCCATAACGAAAAAATATGAGATGTGAAACAAAGTGTAATTAAAGAACCACTTGGGAGCACAGAATTTGACAAATTAGAAATTTTAAACTTCCCAAGGTCCAGTTTGAACACGAATAGAATATAAGTGCTATCGGTCAACAATTATGTCTTTGTCTCATATAACAAATTCTTTTCTCAATAACGAATATGTATGAGAATAAACTTAACTTATTGATTAAACTTATTGATTTTTTCATTACAATTAGTTATAATTTTTTTGTCAACCGAATCAGGTAGGCATGCTGGCTGACAGAGGCGCAGAAATAGAACTCCCTCCCATACAACAGGTCTTCTATTTTCCGCCCCTCTGTGGACTTAGGTATTATTCGAGAAAACTTAAGCTAATTTAATGCATATCATACCTGCAGTGAATTCCAATTGAGCATGGGTTAACAAACAAGTATTTTAGCTTTTCTGTGAAAGTCAGATAAGCTGACTAGCAATTAATGTAAATATTATTAAATTAATTTAATTCATTTATGTTTTTTTTTTTCAATTTGGCTTAAGGAATTTTATGTTTATTTATTATTTCATTTTCTTACTAACATTTATTTTTCTATTTACTGTAATTTTTTAATTACAAAATTAAATTTTATCTTTATTTTCATTAAATTCATTTCCTTTTACCTAATTTTTATTTTAAATTTATTTCAAATCATGTTTTAATTTTTGTTTACCCTTTTTAATTTATTTTATACTACTTTACTTTTTTTTTTGATTTATTTTATATAAATTTTATGAACTATTTTTTTGTTAATTTAATTTTAGTAAATATTATTTTGTTTAAACTTATTTTATATTCTTTATTTTATTTTATTTTGTTTTAGTTTATTTTATTTTATTTTATTTATTTTAATTTATTTTATTTTATTTAATTTTATTTAATTGCAATATG